TTTTTTTTCTAGTCAACAGCAAAATTAGAATATATTATAATCTCTCTTAATTTCTTACATTTTTACATGTAATATTTATCTTGCTAATAATGTCGTTTATATAATATTACCATTATGTCATTAATATGTAATATTAATCTCGTTAATTAGCCTTCTACAATTTTTTAAAAGATCACGATTTCTTTTCTATAGTGTTTTTTTTTTATTATCTTATCTGTAAATAAAGAAAGTTTTGAAATATATTGACACATGTCGAAGAATAGCATTGATGTGCAGCATGTGGACTTCACACCGTAGGGCCCAGATGGTAAGCGTCGAATCCCTTTCTTAAATTTTCATCAGGATATAACACTACTGCTTTCTAGACCACCTGTTCTATGCATAATTCGAAATTATTTCTGAAATTTCACCATTACATATAAATACGGATATGGATTAATTGCGTCTGCGATGATCGAAAAAGATGTGTCATTTCCGTTAATTTCTCTGTCTAACTTTTGTCTAACTATGTACACTGTGTAAATTAAGATAATTCTCAACCATGCATTTTGTGTTATTTAAAAATTTCTTACATATCCGTTATCATGTATTATTCTTATATCTGTCGCAATTAACAACATTAATAATTAGAAAAGAAAATAAAACAAATGATGCTATATTTTACGAATCATTTGATTTATATTTGCATTTAATGAAATATACCTATATATATCCATAATGTATAGAGTTAACAAACGGTTATTTTGAACGACGTTACACTTTGAGACGAATTTCAAAAGATCTTTGTTCGCATCGAGGAAGTGAATCCGTGATCGAATTCAAACGTGTTCGTGTATACGAATACTTTATGTCGTCTATAACAGCCGGAAGTTGAACATACATAATGTTTCTGGGCGCGTCTGTTTGTGCTATTTTTCGCTTCACTGACAAATAAAAACAAAGTATTGATTAATCGTGATTTGACGAATATAATATTGATTATTACAACACAATATATATAAAAAATATTTTACTATTTCCGCCAATTTTCAAGGCGGGAATTTCACTTCTTGCTTATTTACATCATTATTATTTACTGATATTTTATTAATAATACTAAAATTAAAAATGTTTCAGAAAATTTGTAATTACATTCTCTGTTAATTTTACTTATAATATAACAAATATAAATTATTGTGGTAATTAATGTGTTATATAATAAAGTGTATTGATGTTAATTATAATAAAGTGTATTCTTTAGTATATAAAAATTGTACTTGATAAGTACTTTTAACGAATAGTTTTCTATAAATAATGAAATAATTTTGTAAATTATTTTAAATGACGCCGAACAATAAAAATATTCTAGTCCGGTAATAAAATAGATTTCTTTCTTATTGATCGTATGAACGGTCGGTAAGGTATTGTTAAAATGGACTACAATGGAAAGTAGGTCAAATCCTTTCACTCGAAATTAATTCTTCAAAGTATTTACGATGGCACAAATAGAAAATATAGTTAAACTAGTTAAGCCACACTTTTTGGAAGAATTAATTGCTATTAAAAAGAGTGTTGTGTGAGATGCTAAAGTGAAATTATTTAGCTATCAATTATGTTAATTAATAAAAAGAAATTTAAATATGCGAAATATTGAATAATATCGATAGTCGATTTGATATAAGTAGTGGCATGTTTGTATTTTAAATTTTAGTATTATTTGCAAATTTTTATACTAAGTATCTTTGCTTTTATAACACATCATTATTAATAATGGTTCAAATAAAAGATAATACCGTCCAAGTAGTATTTATTTCTTTATTATTGGATCTTTTGGCATTTACTATGATATTACCATTGTTACCTGCCTTATTAGACTATTATAAAGAAATAGAAGATGATAGAGGCATATATTTTAAAATTTTGTATTACATACAAAATGTAAGAACATTTTTCGATGCGCCTGATAAGGTCAATACAGTACTTTATGGAGGTTAGTCTTTTATTTTATTTTATTTATATTATTAATATATTAATATGTATTAACGTATATGCTTTGTCTTATAGGTTTTCTTGGTTCTATGTATTCTTTTTTACAATTTTTGAGCTCTCCAATAGTAGGAGCGTTATCAGATATGTATGGAAGAAAGCCACTGATGATATTTTGTTTAACTGGTATTGCATTATCTTACCTATTGTGGGCACTTTCTTGTAACTTTACAATATTTGTATTAGCAAGATTTGTTGGAGGTATTAGTAAAGGAAATATTAATTTATCAATGGCTATTATCAGTGATGTTACATCTCCAAAAACAAGGGGAAAAGCAATGGTAGAGTTTATTAAAATAAACATATAAATAAATACAATATATATTGAAGATAGATAAATTTAAATAGTAAATAAATAAATTTTTTTTAAATTTTCAGGCACTTGTTGGTATAGCATTTTCTGTAGGCTTTGTAATAGGCCCAATGATAGGAGCATTTTTTTCATGGGTTTTTAGTGATAATAGAAATGAGACTTGGTATATAATACCTGCAGTATTTGCTTTTTTTTTAACAACAAGTGACTTGTTCTTTATTATTTGTTACTTAAAAGAATCTTTACCATTAAATCGTAGAACTAATACATTCATATCTAGTGTCATTGGAATTTTTACTTACATTAATCCTATAGATCTATTCCAGTTTAATGGGGTATCTGGCTTAAATTTGCAAGGTGAAATAACAAATTTAAAATATGAGAAAATTAGTATATTATAAATTTTATAACGATTAATATTATATATAATATTTCAGACAAAAAGAATTTAAGAACACTGGGTTCTGCATATTTCATATATTTATTTGTATATAGTGGTTTGGAGTTCACCTTAACTTTCTTAACTCATTATCTATTTAAGTTTACAAGCATGCAACAGGGATGGATGTTTTTAGGAATTGGATTAGTTATGGCAATTTTGCAAGGAAGTTGGGTACGAACGATTCCACCCAATAAAACAAAATCTGTTGCAGAATTGGTATATATTTTGGAAACTTTATACAATATATTTGATAAAAACTAATTTTATTTTAAATTATATAATTATATAAATATTTTAGGGTTTGTGGTTGATCATTCCAGCTTTTATTTGTTTAGGTTTTGCAAATGATATATTGACATTGTCAATTGGATTATTTCTGTTTGCAGTTTGTAAGTATATTTGCATGATACTTACAATTTATATATATAAAATATAACAAATATCCACCAATTATTTTTTATTTGTTATAGCTACTGCAATGGTTGTTACATGTATGATGACTCTTGTGACACGTATTGGGCCTGATCATCAAAAAGGTACAATAACAGGTGTTTTTCGTTCTCTTGGAGCATTGGCACGAGCTTGTGGACCTATTGTAGCTTCTTCAGGTAAATAGAAAATTTAAAATCATTTAACTTACTAATTTAAACTGAGATAAGAATTTTTATTTCAGCATTTTGGTACATGGGTAGTAAAGCAACATATCTCATTGGTGCTGTATTCCTTCTTTTCCCACCTATTATTCTCCAAACTATAAAATCATTTTGAAATAAAAGTATTTACATAAGTATTGTATACTTATATCGATCAGTATTTTTATACATTTTATGTTTGTTATGTAAACATTTGAGAAAGTATTCTTTATACACTTATTGTGTCATATATAATATAAAAGAGATTATAATATATTCCCATATATAAATTTCCTTTCTTTACTCTTTTTTTCTTTTACCCATCATATTTAATAATTATCGATTTATTGAACAATTATCACGTTAATAATACTGTGATATAACACGTGTTTTTTCTTCGATAAATTAAAAGAAGTAAAGGTAATACTTAAATAATAATTAATAATTAAGCTAATAAATGCAATTAATGGATATAATCGTCAGGAAAGTTATTGCAATCGAAGATAGAAATATTTTTTTCGATTCAATAGGTCCCTAGAAAAATCATGATCTCAAACGTGTGTGATTGGTGCTTGGTCACGTGATATACTCTTTCCCCTTTGCGTCGCGCCATTTACGGTAAGAAATTCTCGGAATTTTTCGTTCGCGGCACTCCGTTGTCCGCGCTGATGTGAGTAACACAGAAGGGGGAAAGTTATTGATGCGATTTGCGCGTGCGACCGGTCGCAATCATTACGTTTACAATTATTGCGCGGCAGACTGAGTTTGTTCAGTCCAAAGGTTAATTAAATCAAACTAAAAAAAGATAGGTAACAGAATTATACAGCACAAATCCTAGTTGCTTTTGTCTTCGGACTAGCAGCAGGTGAGTGCAACCAATTCTTAAAGTGAACATTTTTTTTCTTTTGCCCCTCCCGTTTTATCTATTTACGCGTATTGCAATATGTCACGTTATTTCTGAATTTCAGTATTATACTTTTTATTTGAATTTAATTAAAATAATCAAATAATTGAAACTCAGTTAATTCAATTTTTTTATACAATATTTTTAAAAATAATATTAAATATACGTTATTTTTTTTTTATCTGAGTTTCAGAAGTATACGTATCCATTTTAAAAGTGTATGTGTGATACCTAATAATATTAGGTAAACATTTCATTTTATCAGGCAATACTAATTGTATATATTTTACAAGAAGTACAATATATTTAATGAAAAGTGTTAATGTTAATGAATAATAAAAATAATAATTTAACTAGAAATGGAATATATTTAAGGTAAAGAATTTCTAATTACAATCAAAATGTCACTGTGGGCAAAAGCACAACAGTTACCACAAGATGCATTGCAAGAAGTACGTTCAGTTTATGGAGAGCATTTTCCAATTGAAGTTCGACACTTCTTATCTTCTTGGATAGAAGAAAAAATGTGGTATGTCAATGTTTTTTAAAAAATTTATGTATATAGAAATCTGTATATATACATAGATTTCTTAAAATAATATTTTTATTATAGGACTGATATAGAGCCTGATAACCCACAATATGAACAATATATAGCTACTCTTGTTAGATCTTTAATTCAAGAATTAGAAACTAAGGCAGCGTCATTAAACACAGATGACATGTTTTTAACAAAATTAAAATTAATGGAGGCTGCAAAAAATTTTCGTGTAAGTTTTATAATGAGATGTTAATAGTTGACTTGGAACACATTGTTTTAATGCAATGTATGTTTTTTTAATGCAGCAGAGATATACGCATAATCCTACGGCATTATTTAGAATAATTAGACATTGTCTAGGAACAGAAATGAAATTAGTAGCTCAAGTGGAGAATTTGGGAGGTGCATTAATGAGTATGGCAGGAGGAAAAGTAGGATTGATTAGTGATGCTGTTGCTGAGATAGCTCAACATGTTGAGTCCCTGCGACGTAGAACTCAAGAAACTGGAGAAGATTTACGAAAAATGGAACAAGAACAAGAGGCATTTGCTATTAGTTATCATGAATGTACTAAACTAAATGCACATCTTCAACATCTTGCCACACAGCCACAAAATCAACAAAATTTAGATATGGAAAAAAAAATTAGAAGGTAATTCGACACATTTTAAAAATCTTAAGAAAATACATTAATAATAATGTATTTATATCTAGGATGACGTATCTGATATTCAATTTAATTTATTCACTCATTTATAGCAACAATAATAATTGACATAAATCAAAACATAATATCATGTGCTTCTGTTTATAGATGTATATAACATTATAAATAGAAATAACGAAAATTATATTATTACAGGCAAAAAGAGCAACAAGAACAATTATTGAATCATAAAGTAGCAGGTTTAATGCAGTTACGATTAACATTAGCTGACAAATTGAAAGACACTATTACTAGATTAAATAGTTTGCAATCTAGAGTTTTAGATGATGAACTTATTAGGTAAAATTTATTTGATCTCTTCCTCTTTCTTTCTTCTTTCTTTACAATAATATTACAAACTCTAAAAATAATAAAACATAATTATTTAGATGGAAAAGAGATCAGCAATTAGCAGGAAACGGTGCACCATTTAACAGCAATTTGGACTCTATTCAAGAATGGTGTGAAAGTTTAGCTGAATTAATTTGGCTTAATCGTCAACAAATTAAAGAAGCAGAACGTTTGAAACAAAAATTTGCATTAGAACCACCAGGAATGCAAGATATTCTTCCTGCTTTAAATTCCCAAATTACACAGCTTCTTAGTTCGTTAGTTACAAGTACATTTATTATAGAAAAGCAACCACCGCAAGTAATGAAAACCAATACTCGTTTTACAAGTACGGTACGTTTGCTCGTTGGTGGAAAACTGAATGTTCATATGACTCCTCCTCAAGTAAAAGTGAGCATTATCAGTGAAGCTCAAGCTAATGCTTTATTAAAGAGTGATAAAATGGCAAAAAATGGAGAAGCTAGCGGTGAAATTTTAAATAATACAGGGACGATGGAATATCATCAAGTAAGAGAAAGAAAGTAATAGCTAAAATTATTCACAATATTATTAAAATAAAATATGTAATTATTTTTATTTCTCAGGCGACAAGACAACTTTCTGTAAGCTTTCGTAATATGCAATTAAAAAAGATCAAAAGGGCAGAGAAAAAAGGAACGGAATCTGTAATGGATGAAAAATTTTCGCTTCTCTTTCAATCACAATTTAGTGTTGGAGGAGGTGAATTGGTATTCCAAGTTTGGACGTTAAGTTTGCCAGTTGTAGTAATTGTACATGGAAATCAAGAACCACATGCCTGGGCTACAGTTACATGGGATAACGCGTTTGCTGAACCAGGAAGAGTACCATTTGCAGTACCTGATAAAGTTCCATGGAGTCAAGTAGCTGAAGCATTAAATGTTAAATTTAGATCTGCAACAGGTCGTTCATTAACAGAAGATAATCTACGTTTTCTCGCGGAAAAAGCATTTCGCGGTGGTAACGCAAGTGGACAAGATTACTCTAGTTTATTTTTGAGTTGGGCACAATTTTGTAAAGAACCATTACCAGAAAGAAATTTTACGTTTTGGGAATGGTTTTATGCTGTGATGAAATTAACCAGGGAACATTTAAAAAATCCATGGATGGATGGTTACATACTTGGATTTGTGAGAAAGAGGCAAGCAGAAGAAATGTTAGCAAATTGTGCATCAGGAACTTTTCTAATGCGTTTCTCAGATTCTGAACTTGGTGGTGTTACAATTGCTTGGGTTGGAGGTACATTTGTGCATTTTATTATTTTATACTAGATTTGTTATTTTTCTCTTCAATTAATGTTCGTATATTTGGAATTAAACACTTTGTAGATCAGACAGAAGTTTTTATGTTACAACCATTCACGAGCAAAGATTTTACGATACGCAGTTTAGCTGACCGTGTGTCCGATTTGCAACATCTACTTTATTTATATCCAGATATATCGAAAGATCAAGCCTTTTCTAAATATTACACGCCGTTTACAGGTAAATACGCTTTATTTGTATTTTCTTCTTCTTATTTATTTACAGAATATTTTGGATTGAAATTATATGAAATGTATTTTATTGTAGAAAATCAGTCTACATCAGCGAATGGATATGTGAAGCCATTTTTGGTAACACATGTGCCTGGTTGGGGTGGACCTGGTATTGGTGGTCAAACACCGTCACACTCTTCCGTAGTAGGAGTAGGAAGTAATGGTCAAAGTGGTCCTGGTAGTAGTTATCCTGCAACACCATCCACTATATTTCAGGCACATAGTCCAGATCCCTCTGTAACGCGTGATACTCCATCAGTGGCTTCCAGGTCAGTTCCTTGGATTTAAAGTATTAATCAAATAAACATATACATTTTTTTATTAATATAAGCTGCCATTTAAGAAATTTGAATATAAGATATGCAAAGTTCTTTTTTGACTTTCATACAATTTATTTAAATATGAAATATGTATCAAAGTACGTTTAAATTTTTTAATTCATTATTTCTGGTAATTACTATCGTATGAACTGTTTGTTAATAACATATCGACTTGACACACAGTTTAAGTACTTAATGGTTGATCAATAGCAATAGATCAGTGAAGAGTTTCCAAAAGCACAAAAACAGCATATTCCTACAATTGATAACACTTTGCATGTCTTTAT